ATATATATATATATAATATATATAGATAGATATATAGATATAGATAGATACAGATATGATATAGATATAGATATAGAGATATAGATATAGATATAGACAAAGACATAGACATAGACATAAACATAGATATAGATATAAATATAGATATATGTATAGATATATGTATATGTACTTGTATTTGTATATGTACTATATCTATATTTATATATAAATATATCTATATCTATATATAAATATATCTATATCTATATATCTATATATCTATATATCTATATATATATCTATATATATAATTATATATTTATGTGTGTGTGTATGTATGTATGTATGAATGTATGTATGTATGTATATATGTATACATGTATACATGTATATATGTGTATATATATATATATATATATAAATATATATATATATATATATATATTGTTTCATCGCACCAAAAATATATTATATTTACATAAGATCATGACATGTGTATTTTACATAGTAAATACTAAATACATATCTTAACAATTGTGTGGCGGTATAACTAGGAACACAGATTGTTATTTATGTTTTTAAACATAATTTACAGATATCCTACTTGTGCAATTGGTGCCAGTGATCAAGAAAAACTCTCAATAAAAATCCTCAACTCGCGATAACAACGATTGATAGGAAAACGTGTCATTGTAGGGGGGGGGGGGGTATATGTTTGCCTGAGTTGAGGAAACGAGCTCAACTTTCTGCTGATCTATCTTTTTTTAAGAGAACTTCACTTTCTGCTTATCTATTGCTGATATTTTGACTTATGGCGTATGTATGTACTCGAATCGAATCCTGCTTACAGTATACTTCTCGTAGTTTCGGTTCTATTAATGACAAAGACATCCTCGATACAATTAGTTCTGAGAAACGAATGCTTAAGTTTCAGTTTCAGTTCTGAAGTTCCAAAGCCTTGTACGTCATATACGCTGAACAGTGCTACAAGTTCAGCTTTCATAGTAACACCTAGGGCCCTCCGGCGGTTCTCTTCCCAATACAGTAGATATCGACATAAGTGCTGGGCGAACCTAACAACCGAGAAGAATTTGCATTTCTTTTTAACTTGCACCTGTATTTACATCCATCGTATACTATTGTACTCGCATGTCTACAGAGTACTGAGTACAGACTGTAACACACATGTGTATTTATTGTACATATTTCAGAAATGCACGACGTGTTGAAAACACAAAGAATTCACGGCGTTTGCATGTACATAGCCATAGCTCTGAAATTTTTAGAATATGTATTATCAGTTTATTATTGATGCTTTTTTGGCGGGAAGCTAGTAGTATAACTTACCGTCTAAATAGTATATAAATTTTTACAGGCAATCACAAACGTCGGGCCCATGACCGGTGTATATAACTTTATGTAAATATTTATCTAGCTAGAAACAATACCAGTGCATAGCGCGACTATTTTGGCCTCCATATCCTGTGCTGACGGCTTAGTTATTGTTTATAAGAAGCTATATTGTCGATATAGGGTAATGCGTTCACCCTTTAGTGTTGAAGGGCAAATACCTTACACGTTATAGCGAATCACCGTTCACTCGTACATGATAGCAAAACATCATACGTTACACTCGAAGATTTAAAAAATTGTCCAGATAAGTGAATGCTTGATAGCGAATAGGGAGCGTACGCACCTAGAAACTGATGTATTAACACACACACAAATATATATATATATATATATATATATATATATATATAGTGAGATATGTCGCATAAACTATAGTAAGTAAGATAGTCTCTCGTGTA